GGCGTCGAGCCACCGCGTTCTTTGGCGGCCTCGTCTTCTTGTTCCACTGACCATTCCAAGCATCATTGGTTTCTCCAATGAATCTGATCACATCACATGACCAAAATAAGTGAGCCGGAGTCAGGTGATCTTTCCCTCAAGCGAAATTTCTGGCTTGATGCACTCCAGAACCTCTTTATTGGTGACCCTTCCTGTCCATGGTATCCGGTACGATACAAGCATGATTTGTTTCAGTCTAGAATACAGGGAAACAACCACATGCCCTGTCCTAACTCTTTTTTTAATACCTGTAGTGTTATGATACATTTGCAATATGTCTGTTCACATCTGTGTTTAAACTGATCCTGTGTTACAGGTACAGAACTCATTACCATGACAACAGCTGTCGAGGCCTGTAAAACTGGCTTTGTGCTTAAGCAATACATCGTGTTTTGCTGTGCTTGCTATGTACGTTATTTGTTTAGATTCAGTTGCTCAGAATATATAAATTTAAACAGCTTGGTATGTTTTTTTTTTCCCCACTCTTTTTTGCAGCATCTCTCTGCTGTATAATTTACAGTACCTTACGGTTATCTTTATACACTTTATAAAGATCACCAATCTGCTGGTACACTGCCAATTTTCCTATGGCACCCTATGGTAGAAGTCCTTCTGGGCACAGTTGCCTCTCGTACCGTTCAGTAAGTTAGCAGTTCATCTCTAACCCAAGTAACATCACATTCATTTATAAAGTGATTTTGTGGTAAAAGAATATTGACTCATTGTGTCAGTATTGTATAGTTGTATGTGTCCACACTTTATGCTGATTGGGGATCATATTAAAAGAGCACAGGAATGTAACCTAGTTTAAGGATCCGCTCTTGTTACTTTTTTATGAGAGGCATCTCTATAGCAATGTACATGTATATTTCTATTGCAGTGTATAGTTTTATAGCAGTAGACATGTTAAGTACAGAGCCTATCAAGACAGTCTTCCACATCTTTAGTCAATTAAAATGTGTGGTCTTTTTAGATGTAGAGGATACACATTTATGCTCTTGGATTTTTGATGCTGCTGATAAATACATTTTTAATGCAAAGAATAAGCTTTTTAGCATAATCACAGTCAGATTTTTATTTATTCTGTGTGTATTTTTTATATATTATTTATAGATCTTTGTTTTGCACATCAGGATTTCCAGTCCTTTTTATCTTCATCAGTATTTGAATGGAAGGTAATAAATAGGACTTTTGACATTAATAATAATTATAATATTAATAACTTTATTTTTTTAATTTCAGGTTGTGTGAATCATGATAACTCCTATATTTGAGATAACTCAAGAATCGGATTTCCTCATCATCAGTATTCGTGTTCCTTACACACGAACTTCAGAGTTTGACCTATACATCGATGGCGAGGATTTCAAATTTTATGCCAAGCCATACTTCCTAAGGCAAGTAGGAGTGAGTCTTTATATCTTCCATGCTTTCCATTTCCGTCATTAAATTTCATTATGCTTTCAGATCTTTCTAAAGACAAAGCTGTTTGTCAACGAGAGTTAGCAAAGAGCTGAATCAGAGTGTTTTAACAGACAACATTTTGTCCTCGATCTGTATTTCTAATCACAGGCTCACCCTCCCTGGGAGAATTGTAGAGGATGGGAGAGAAAAAGCCTCTTTTGATGTCGGTAAAGGTATGGATTTCTATTGCTGACACATGCTTAAAATGTAATCAATAGTTTAACAGTCCCAAATTATCCTGTGACTCCACAGAAAACCATCATACATGCACACATATAAACAGCACTCGAACGTATTGATTTGTTTGAATTAAATATAACAGGTTTTGAAGAACATGATTTGGTGTAAATGAACATTTTATTGTTAAAAAAATCACTCTGGAACTATCAATATTGGTCTTGGCTTGTTGTACGAAACACATAAACTGATCTTTTCCAGTGCATGTTGTCTGCTGCTTCTCTTTATTGGCTACATTGGCTGTGACCTCATACAGTATAGTGATCTGGTATAAACTGTGTGAAGCTGGGAGACCTGCTATAAAGAAATGGATGGTGTTTTTTTTAAATGACAGGAGAAGCTCCTGTGTTGCTGTCCAAACAACACGTTAGTCTAAGAATAACATAAATTGATTATTCCTTATGTGTCTCTTCACAGTTTCTGAATCAGAAACTCAGAGGATTTAATTACAGCTGCAGAAGCGCTAACTCAGCTTTAATAAGGTTGAAGTATTCAATCAATTTTGTGAAGGATTTTTTTTCTATAGTGACTTCTTCATGACTTTAAAGTTTGTGTAAAAGTCAGTTTCTTTTCTTTTAAGATCAGTTTGATCATTTTAAATTGGCCACAGAGTTATCGAAAGGATAATTTGTCCACTCATAGGTCATTTATAATTTCATTTGAAGGGTTTTTGTCAATGATTTCAGGTGTATGGATGTCGCATATCTTGTTTTCTTGAAATTAGGTTTAGCAAATAAACCCTGTTTATGTTCCAGCTAGTATCAGTAACTTAAAATGATGTCCCAATCTCCAAGCTAATCGTGTTTATTTTGGAATTTGCTGTAACACTTTTTAATTATAGAGTATTATCAGATGTTTTAATTATAAAGATGTTTAATTTATGTAGCATAATTCCCCTACGCCTTATTTTCTTAAAGCCTTGTTTGACATGCAGTTTGTAAATAATTCAACAGCAGCTGGTAATAAAATTCTTGTAATGGGTACTTCTGTTTACATGTGTAATTAGAAACCATTTAGGTGCTTCTTCGGGTCTAAACAAGACTCATTAATGGCATACTGCCAAAGCAGTCAATAGCATAATGCATTTTTAAGGTAAATACTGTGCCTTAATAATGAAAGTTTTATGAGGTCATTAAAATGCATTATTGCAGTAACTGTCTTCGAGCTGTGAAATTGTCTGTTTTAGTAAACAGTTTTAATTTGTGCAAATTATGTTTTCAAGCAATCCTTTTTTTTGTGCTTTTCATTTGATTCCTTTTGTAGTCACTGCTAAATCCTCAGTTAAAATCTGACTCTATGGAGTTTGTTGGACAGTAACTAATAACTTTTAGCTTGAGTATTACAACATAACTTGTGTGTATGATGTGTACAATTCTGCATTATACTGTATGAAAACAAAATGTTATCATGCAAAATGTGATGCTTAGTTGCAATATATATTGCAATTGCAAAGTGTTGCTTTTGAATGTGTGGGTTGATGGCAAAAATACTTCCTGGTTCAAAAAAAGTTCAAACCATTCTTTGTTTCTCTGTGCTTTGTTGCATATTTAGTCTTTAGTGTGTTTCTTGTGTTTGAGGTGCTATTTTGTCCTACAGGTATTTTTACCTTGCGGGTTCCTAAAGAAACTCCAGGAGAGCCTTTTGAAGGACTTCAGATGCTGACCTCTCTTCTTGCACCCAAGGGCTCGAGATCTGCTAAGCCTCTAGTGGAAGAAACAGGTCCGGTGTGTTTTACTTTGTGTTTTCAAATCCAGCATCAAAAACCCAGAAACAAACAAGCATCCACACAACCTTCTTTTGATAGCGATTGCTTTCATCCATTTATTCAGTGAAAAGCACAGGCACGCACGGTTTGCAAGCAGGATAAAATAGCTTATTCACCCTTACTTGTCCAGCCAGTGAATAAACAGCTTCATCGAAAGGGTTTCTTTGCTGTGTTAGTTTGTGTTAATGTATTTGTTTGAGTGTTAATTTGTCTGTTAATTTGTCCAAAGCTGCTTACATATGTCCCCATTTCAGCAGCCGGGCAGTTAACTGGTACGTTCTGAACGAAGTACCCTGCATTAGCGTACAAAATCTGTGTGTCACCTGGGATTTGGACCTTCCTGTGTCCAGAGTCCTAACCTCTACCTGATTCTGCTGTCTCTGTGCTGAGTCATGACTTTGCAGGTGTGATGTGTGTAAGTGCATGGAGGCACAAACTTCACAGATCCAATTGAATATTTAATTTGTTTAGGGATCAATAAAACCTGCACAATTCATCAGCTGTGTTTTTGTCAAGGGAATTTACTGGGTGATTTGACTCTGCGCCATTACCAGGCTGTTCTTTTCTGGCTTCATTCTTCCCTTATGTAATCCCTGAACCAGTTATGAGAGGTGTTTTAGTTATTTACAGATCGGGCACACGTTCAGAAACATGTAAAGTGGCAAAAACTGAAGCTGTTTATAAATAATGATTTTAGAAGACATGACCTGTTATGATACTCAGTTAGTTTTTAATCATCATTCAAGAAAGAACCATAAAAGACAACAACAGATCCAAAAATAAACCAAATACATAAAATAGGAGCTTGCAATCTTAGAAAGTAAGGGAAAAGGGGGCTTACCTTCATAGTTTTTGCATGGGTACATTGTAACTCAGCCATAATATCTTACCATTGGAATATTTTGTGAACAAGTTTATTTTTTTAAATTCCCTTTCTAAATTTTCTGCTGTTTTTCCATCTGCTGTTTTTTTTTATGGAGAGATCTGCAAGGAGAGTGCCTTGTTGTACAATTTGCACACTCTTTGTTTTCCGAAGGGTCCAATGGAATCGAAATGAAGAATTCAACATACCGTAATGTTGTAAGAGAAATGGCCAATTTGTTTGTGTTGAGTATTTTTAGTTTTTGTAGGCGGTGAAAGCATATAGGTTTTATACACAGTTCATTAGTCATGTGTATGACAAAAGTCTGATGAGCAGCCAGAACTCTTGTCATTATGCTACCAGTAATAATTGTGTTGTGATTGGTTTATGTTTTGATAAATATTTTTTGTGAGTGTTTAATTTAGAAACACATTTCTATTGAAAAAATCAAAATGATTATGAATGTCATCAGGCCAAAACTAAATAACCATAGAAGAAGCATTTGTAAAAATGTTCCTATCATTATGATAATATATACCCAAAAAGACAAATATTTTTCTGCACATTACAAGATTACAATTCGGCGCCTTCTGCCACAATTGTTTTTTTCTCAATTTACCGATTTGATTTTGAGGAGTGTCTGAATTAGGGGGAAAGTTAGCTTTTACTCTAAACCAGGAAGAAATGTTAAATAAGACTTTTTCTCTCAGTTAATTTAGCACACAAAATGTTTTAAAAAACTGCTACATTAGTTAAAGTATTGATTTAGACGATAAAGTTCAGTTCGTCATTATACTCAGCAAGTGACTCCTTGAAGTATAACTTTATTGTGTATATTCATGACTTGCAAATTTGTTCAAGAAAAGTATCTTTTCTGTGGCATTTTATGTTGGAAATACATTAACATTTTTTGGTTCATTTCTGTTCTTTATTTATATCTGTATACAGTATTACTCATATGTTATTGACATACCTCTTTTGTATTGTCTATTTGTGTTTTCAGAGCTCTCTGGAGAATGTGTGGCAGAAAGTGATGAAGAAGATTTTGACTGGGAGGTAGATCAGGAAGTACAAGTAGAGATCACTGAAGAAGAACTTGGCAGGCTTTACAAATATGGCTTTGGAAATCAACGAGCTGGGATTTTCACCAGACTGCAGGTATGTCTCTTTAAAAAACAGCTGCTGGACAGTTTAAAAGGTACTGATTCCAGCTTTAAGACCATAACAAAAGAAGGCCTCCACTCTTTTGTTAGCCATTTTGACCCATCTAGCCTTTTTTGTAGTTTGTTGCTAATTAATCCAAGGATCTCATTCATTCATTTCCAGATTTTAAAAAAGTTAGGGTGTTGGCTGAGTAGCTTGTTCCTTACTCCTGCAACCAACAGGAGTCCTTGGAGAGCCTTCTCAGTCTGTGCGTAGAAGAGCTTACATAGTGCGAAAGGGTGTGAGTAAAGAGTGTGACTATGTAGTAACTGTACATCCTGTGAGAGAATTTATTTTAGATTTGCCTAAAATAAATTCTCTACCATTTTGAGAAACACTTCATCTTCAGAACCTAATACTTGCTTTAGTTTTCTCTTTTGAAATTCACATGTAAGGGATTCTTGTAATAACAGTAAAGTGGCTTAAGGTGTCAACCATAATCTCAGTATCAATGCCTCGGAGATTTCAGACACTTTAAGTTAGGAGATTTAAGTTAGGATTTTTGAGATTTCAATGTGATGATTGAAATAAACTGTATCTATGATGTTACACAAATACATCAGTCATATATTTCATAGCAAATGGATGTGGAATTAATATGTGTTAATTTGCCTAAGAAAGGATACATCTTGAAGCTTTCTAATAAATTTAAATACTACAGTAAATTATAAACATTTCCTGGGGAGTTATTTATTTCTAACTTGAAAATGTCCCAGATTAGGATATTAGGTGCTTTGAAGCCTTCCTCTTAATTTAATTTGTTCTTTATTGCAGCACATGGCCTTGGAAGTATAAATTAGCTTTGGAAATTTTCCTTTTTTTATTCCAGCATTCATTTTAATTAGACAGTTGATGTATTTTATCTCGGCAAAGACGTAGTTTTTATGAGTAAACAAAACTCTGACCTTCGAAGAGTAGCTTTTTGCCACACTACTCCCCGATGTCATTTTAATTTTGCACAAGATGCTTTATTATGCTTTCAGTATAATGCTAAAAGGAACCATACATATTTGAGACTCATTTTATAAGAACCTTGAGTGTGTGGGGGGGATTATTACCAACAATAATAAAGTATAACCACTGTTGCTGTTCATAGGACATAATAGGTGAGGCTTTAAATCCAGTTTTGTCATTTATAAAATGCTAAAAGACTGCACTCAGTGCTATAATTTAATAAATATTGCACATCTGAAAAAATGGAGATGTAATAGTATTTATTTTGTAAGCATTGAATGTTAATTCTTTCATAATTTGATTAAAAAAGCTAAGTAAATTAATCATAAACTGAAAATGTAGGTTTATATAAAGCCAGGAATTTGAGCAATGATTTTCAGAAAATGTTTGTAAATTAACTGTCCTCAATGGTATGCACATAACTATTGCCCAGGCTTACAGTAGTGTACTCTGTCCACACTTTGGACTTTGCTCAGCACTTCAGTATTATTTGAGTGATGACAACATTTGCATTTTACTCAGTAATCAGCTACAGATGCATTGCATCACACAGTAAATATCTATTTGCAGTACTATTCGGTGCAGCCGCGGAATCAATGTTAGTCAGGTGTCAAGTCTGTCAAAAGCATCAAAAGCAAGGAAAAGACTTCATTCTCCCTGGGAAATGTTAGAATTGTGAACATTTGTAGGTTTTAAGTCTTTTAAAAGTGCAAAATATTAGTCTTATGTAAAGTGTGTAATTTAGTTTTTTTTGTAAATATGAGAATTCTCAAGAATTAAAAGTGCCTCTAAAGTCTTTTAGAAGTTTACCCTTGTGGTGTTGTCAGTGTTAGCTTTTTACGTTTTTGTCAGTGGTTGGCATTCAAGTTCACTTTGACAGTTTAATAGACCTCTTCTTTGTTTTCCGCTGGTTGTGAACTTCATTTCTTTATAGCTTTAGCCACAAGAGGGATGATGAGCTTGCAGCTGCAATAAAACAGTGAAATGACATGATGCACAGTGTAGTCCTGTTTTATGAGACATTTAACTGTCTGGCACTGGGCTCAGACTTGTCAGAAACACTAATGCAGAGATCTGTCCCATTAGGACGAGTTGAGTGATGTCATTGATGTGAAGAGTCCAGACAGCACCTCAGCTGCTGAGCGCAGACAGGGCCGTTTGGCTGCTGAGACTGCCAAGTTTGAACCTGACCATTACCTGTAAGTACAGTGTTGCTTCCTTGTGTGCCTGGCCTTGTTAAAACATACTGTTAGGCTGTGAAATTGAGCTATTACTTCATAACATTTCTTGTGTTCTCTGTGTTTTTATGACAGTTACATTAAACACTGTCTTTTGACAGTTTTATTTAGATTACAGGTGTCACAGTCGGTAGCCCCGCTGCCTCAATGCTCATAGGTCCTGTATTTTGTTCCGGTTTTCCATTTCCATCTGGTCTTCCAAATGCATGCAGGCTAGGTTAATTCATATCTCTGAAGTGTCTGTGTTCATTTCCCATATGCTCTGCAGCCAGGTTAGAGCTCTGGAAGCCCTGGCTTCCCATGTGTTCATGACTATAAAGCTCTATCACTTTTATGTTTTTGGGATGTTTCCTGACATATGTTTTTATTTCTGATTGGCATTCTGCAATTATTTGTACTCTTATCTTAATTTAATTCTCTTTTTTGTGTCTTCTCTTAAGAAAAAGTAGTTATACGTTCCTTAAGCCTGTTGCTCTTACGTTAAGTACTAACAAATTTGTCACATCAGATGAAAATTACGGTGTCTGTAAATTATTTCATATTTCGTTATTTTACTTCATGGCTTTTCTTTTTTTAGAAACATGCCAGACTTGTTCATTTGTCATGAGTTTGTGATGGATCAGCATGGATGGTGAATGCAAGTGTTGTAGAGAAGAAAAGTGATAGCTTTTTATGCTGCCTGGAGAATCTACATCTCCTGCTGTTTGATCACAGTGTGAATCAGCTCTGTCTTGTGAAGTCAAGGTTAAGTGTGAAACCCGCTCACTCGCTCAACAGTCAGGATTTGCATCAGAATTGCATAGGAATAGGGTTATTGCACATCTGTCCAGGAGGCATCGATGAGCACCAAAAGAATAGAAGAACGTAGGTTTTAATGGATTTTCAGGATCTGATGTATTAGGGTGATTATTTTTGGTCTCTTGTATAAACTTTGATTATTTTATTGTTAATGTGCGTGGAATATGTGAACATTATCAAACTTGAAAAATGTGTGTGGGGCATCCAATTTTATTTGTATTGTTATATTTATATTGTTAAAAATTTTAGTCTGCATTTAACAAACGGGCTTGAGGACTTTCACTAGGACGTTATGGGTTCGAGCCTGGGTAATGTGCTCCAAGGATTTCCTATGCAACTACGCACAACTGGCAGAGTGTGATGTGGAGTATAGTTAGGATTAGCCAGCTGAGGTTCACTCAGCAGAACAGCGACTCCTGTGACTTCCTGGGTGCCCGTGAGCTTGCAGTGACATCAGTGAGACTTGTGCCACTCCTCCAGTCAGTGCTAATTCTCCTATAAGGCGCTGTGGAACTTAAGACATGTCCGAACCTGAATGGCTCAATGAGCCTGTGGACTGAAAGTTGAGCCCCATTAACATTGACACTGTTAGTGTGTCAACAGTGCCAAAGTACCGCAAGTAAAATCTGCAAAAAACAATTGACAGTTTCAAATTGGGTGGCTATTTAAAGTGAGCAGTGGTGCAGTGGTTAGCATTACTGCTTCACGTCTCTGTTGCTCCTGGGGTTCTGTCTGTGTGGGGTATGTATAGTATGTCCTTTCCATGTTTACATGGGGTTCAGGGTGATCCTGTTTCATCCCACAGTCCAAAGACATAACTGGTAGGTTAATTGGCTTCTGGGAAGGTTGGCCCTGGTGTAAGCTTGACATCCTGTCCAGGGTGTAACCTGCCTTGCACTCCTTGCTTGCTGTGATAATCTCTGGCTCCTCTACAACCCTGTAGTGGATAAAGGACTTGGAAAATGGATGGGTGGAATCTAAGTGGCTATATAATGAAACAAGCAGAAATGGAAGGATGGAGGAAGACTGTTCTTTTACGCCACTTTAACAAAGCTGAACTGACATTGCTATATAGAGAGATTTATCAATAGAAAATCAGGATGATTTTCTGGTAGATTGTGGCACCAGCACCTTTAGGTAGTGCAGAACTCAACCATCAACTCACCGCCCTATCCAGTGAGCATGGTGAGTTATGACTAATTCTGTCACTGACAATTAGTGAGAATCCTGCCTTCCTCTGATGGTGTGTGAATATTTATAATTGAGGTGACATTGGCATTTGTTGTTTATTATTCTTACTAGATGTGTGCTGAGGGAATATTTAAATATTCAAGTATAAATGTAATTTGTTTTCACATGAAATGTGATATTTTGTTTGAATTCGATATTGATTTTGATTCACCAAGTAATCTGTTCATTTTGATTATTGTGTTAATTTTAAGGCAGAAAATAAAGTAAAATGCGCCTCCATTATGCACTAGAATGTTCAACAGGAAGTCAACAACACCTGTCAACAATTTATATTCTTTTCTCTATTCAGAAAATGCTTACTTACATAACATATAAGAGGTTGAGATAATTAGATTTGTTATATGCAAAAATATCTATTCACCTAAAAGAATGTCTGCACCTATTTTTAGCAGTACAAAAATAATCATTATTTTTAAAAAGGTGGTTCGCGTATAATATGCACACCTGGGGCTGGCTGAATTGCAAGTACATCTGAGCCCTTTATTTTTAATTAGTAGTGAGTAATTAGTATTTGTCACTGAGTAGCTCATGTTACATGTAGGCTAATTAGTAGTGTCATTTTAATTCAGTTGCTTACCTCTGACTGTTTTTCAGCACTCATAGGTCTGGTAGCATGCACAGATAAGTACACTGCAAGATCTGCTCATGCGTTTTTGGAAGGAAGTTGTAAAAACTAAAAGTTCTGTAAAACGACTTTTGTTTTCCGTAAATACATTTTGTTCTGTGTGTAGGCATGTATTTTATTGATAATCTTTTATCATAAGCTCTCTGTTCAGCCCCATTACTGTAGTTTGAATACTTTGTAGTGTCAGACTAATTAAATGTAATTAGACATGTATTTTCTAAATGTTTTTTATGCACATCCCAAAATATGGAGTAAAGGTACTGTATATTTTAAACAAGAAACCTTTGTCAAAACAATAATAAATAAACATTAAATGATATTAAAGAAATAAAGTGCTTTCACAATTGCATACAATTTAGAGTAGGCCAAATAAGCCTTTAAGAGTAAATTTTCATATTAACAGTAAATCTACGAGTCACATCTGTCTCAAAAAGAGAAAGAAAACATAAATATTTAACAGCTAAACAGCATTGACTGTTTGGTTTTAGCCTCAATCCCTGTTGGACACTTTGCTTGATGATTATAGTACATTGTCATGAATAATTAAGTACATTTACATAGCACTTTTTGTCCCAGTGGATCCCACAGTACTTTACATAAATAAGAAAGAAAGCACCCATTTCATCCACTACGAACGTACACCAAAAACCTGGGCAATATGGTAGCTGTAAACCATGCTACAGTTGCATTACACAGTTAAACAGGTAGTAAAGTGAAAAATTGATTGCCATTTATGAAGGTTGGATTGGGCCAACTCAGGAGAATCTAGGCATGAGACACTTAATTTTTAACTGTGCTGTGGGATCTTTGATTATCAGGTGGTGAGTGACATGGTTTATTGTCTAGCCTGAAGGACAGCTTCTCCCACAGCATCACAATCCTGAGGTACCTGTTTGGAAATTCTAGGAGTGCCACACGCAGGTCCCCAAGCACCATTTCACAGAACGAATGGCAGCCTTTAATAATAATTACTTACACATACATAGCGTTTTTCTGGACACTCAACTCAAAGTGCTTTACAGGTAATGGGAAATCCACTCACCACCACCAGCACTGTGCAGCACCCAACTGGATGATGCAACAGCAGCCAATGTGTGCCAGTACACTCACCACACATCAGCTATCAGTGGGGAGGAGAGCAGAGATGGGGATTATTAGGAGGCCATAATTGGTAAAGGGAAATTTGAGCAGGACACAGAGGTTAAACCCCTATTATCTTCAAGAAACGCTCTGGGAATTCAAATGACCACAGAGTTCAGGACCTCAGTTTTACGTCTCATCCAAAGGACAGCACCTTTTTACAGTATAGTCTCTGTCACTATACTGGGGCATTAGGACCCACACAGACCACAGGGTGAGAACCCCTTACTGGCCCCACTAACACCACTTCCAACAGTTTTTCCCAGCAGGTCCCCCATTCAGGTACTGACCAGGCTCATACCTGCTTAACTTCAGTGGGCTGCCACTTGTGAGTTGCAGGGTGATATGGCTGCTGGGTATGATGGCTTTTAATATGAGCAACATGAAAGATAATACAATCAGGGTGCATTTACAGTATTTGGTGCAGACATAGCAATCAGGTGCGAGAAAGTTTCAGGAGTAATTGCAATATATTAGTCTAACTACAAGAATACCAAAATATTGTTGATATATTCACATAATTATGAGGACTAGAATAATTTGATTAATGAACCCAGTATTGATTTTCAGTGAGTTAAAGGTATCACTGAGCTTGTAATAAATACAGATCAGTTCAGCTGATTGTTGTTGAAATGAAATTTGTTCCGTACCCAGATGAAAACAAGAGCATTGAGATGCAAAACAGAGGGTATTTAATTCATTGTGTTCATTTTTTTTCTTTTGATGCGCTTACCTTTATTCTTAGAAGCATCCTTAACTTTTTACAACTGCAGTACGGCTACGTTTGTATTCCTGTTTGAGTACCTGTGTCTGATTGGTGTATCATTGAATGTACCTTTCCATGCAGGGCAGACTTGTTTGAAGATGATGCAGTCCAGAACGTGCTGAAATACAGACCCTGGTGGGTTGAAGTGGAGAGTAAAAAGAAGATAAAGGAAGAAATCACTCAAGGCCATGATGGGGGTGAAGGAGCCAGTAAGTGTTTCTTCATACTGAAGCTTTATGAGACTTGCAGTAGTTTTTGGCTTGTTGACAAGAGTCTTTCTCTTTCATGCTGGTATCTCCTGCTGCGTTTGACTTCATTGCCCATGATAGTTGACACTTCATGATTGGCATTGCAGCAAATCACTTAAATTATATAAATTTGTTTTTGAAAATAGCTGTGATCTGTGGTTTTGAACAGAGTGTGTTTTTATTTATCCTCCAAACCACATAAAATCTCGTTCTTTTTTAATTGTACGTTTCTAAGTTAAGGTTCTTCAAAAATTGTGATTAAAGATAGGGCTTCTATAGACAAAATTCAATACAATCACACAAAAAATTGAATATATTAACAAGTAAGGCAGTTTGGTTTGCATGGGATAATTACTCTTTGTTTTATCACCTTGTGCCTTGACTACTTGTTTAAAATGATACCTGTTACTTTTGCAGAAATGCATTCCCATCGCAAATCCTGGGATTTTTGCATGCTATCTATATTTCCTTGCCTGCAGTGTTTTTGTTTTCTTTGCCTATGTTGTTAAAATCAGTTAAATTTAAAACAACATTTTAGGAATAGAAATCTGTATATTCTTTGGAATGCAGCCTTTTGATTGCTGTTACTCATTTATTCATGCATTCTGATATGCATTTATTGTTTAGGATATTTTTATTCAATGTATAGCGCTGCAGAGAATTTGTATAAGAGTGATACAAAAGTAGATTTTTTTAAATAAATTACAGCCTTGACAATATGTCACTTACAATCATTTGTACTTCCTTAATAAAGTCACAGATGAGCAGATATTGAATGAATAAAGTTACTTGAGGCAAACTCCCTGTGTATGGAGACCACCGCTTAAGCCTTTGAGAGGCATTTGGCAGGTTGCTGTGACTGGTTATTAAGGTGTGAACTTAAAGTCTTACTAATTAGACAATGAGTATGTAAGTCTTCTGATAAAAAAAGCATAAATTCATTGTTGTGTCAAAATAGAAGACCTTTATGCGGGTATGTGCTAGAATTTTGTTTATAGTAAGTTAAGCTGCCTACCTTTGCATCTTACCACATGACATTTCAGTCTTCAGGAAGAAAACATTAACTGCTCTTTTACTACTAATCCTGGTAAATTGTGGACACAGAGGTTGAATTGTAGTTGTAGGAATAAAGGTTTGCCAGCAGGTGGTGTGTAGTGAAGACTATTCACTACTATGCAAAGCTAGGCATCATTACAGGAGGGATTTCTTGCACATGGCAATGGGTTCTACAGTTTTATTTATAAGTAACAGAATGCAGTCGGTTAAAATACCCTAGTTTAAAACAAGCATTTGATTCTAAATATTATTTTGATGTCTTCTTCTGTGTATGTGTGTATGATGCTTGCATAACACTTACTTGAGGCAGCCAGTTTCTCTCTAGCAAACAGTAAGCAAGTCAGTAGAATTTATGGGTTCCAAGTCAGTTTTGATAGATTTATTTCATTGATTGAAAGCTTAACTACTTAAATAACTCATAATCAATGAACATAGCAAAGCAGTTTGTCAGAGAAATTTATGGCTCAGGAGCTCCCTGTTGTGAACGTGAAGATAGATCGTAACTATTGATTGATATCTAGTGAAGTGACAAAACAAAGCAGAAAAGCAATGTTTTATTATTGATCAAAGCAGTTGTTTGATGAATTGCGGCACACTCCTTAAACAATGAATTTACAGATATGACCGTAAGAAATTTGGAGATATGCTAGGAGTCTAAACATCTGAATGAGATATTAAAGGACTCAGGGTCAAAATAAAAACAGGCACACTCACATTATGTTTGTTGAATAAATTATGATAACATTAACTAATTTAAAATGTAGGATTTGACTGCATAGCCCTTGTATTCAATTTACTGAAAACATTTTTTGCATTAAATAATTCAATTGAAACACACAACTTTGTAATTAGGACTTCTGGAACCCCCAAATGGATACACATTTATAATGGGCTTTGTAACATATCAACCAGGTACAATCGTTTACAAGGATGAGTACTAGGGCTCCATGAAAGGTATTTATTCCTAGTAACCCAAAGCACATGTTTAATTTCATAGAGGTGAAACAATAGGAATGATTTCTTTGACCAATCAGAGATAGTTGTCATTGGCCAGTCACTGGTCAAAACAAGTGATAGCTCAGTCAGAGCAGTCTCTGCCCTCAGGAAAAACAGAAACATAACATATTGTGGTAGATGATACATGCCCACAAAGAAAAGAAATGCCTTTGTGCATGCCCACACACACTAGAAAGTTCAGATTTTTACTTATTTCAGACTATAGCAACTGCCTATTTGATGTTTCTCAGCTGATCTGCTACTCTTGGTGTCAAGGCATGTAGCTTTCATAGTCACCTTTCACATCCCTGTGCCTGATGCACTGCTCACACCCAGCCTACCTGGCTTGGGCCATTTAATGAATGTTTTGGCACTAGTCCCTCAGCCATGCCATAAACTGTAAACAGATGTCAGATTATATCCCAGCTGGCTGATTTCCCTGTATTTTATGGTGTTTATTGAGCATGTCCAAGTTGTTGTCATGGGGAAATATAACAAGGCTGGAGTGATACGTGTGAGTACTAATGAAGTGGTTATTCAAAATAGGCTGTTTGAATTTTGCCTGCTAACCTCCTTGCTTTCTGTTTTCTGTGAAATGAGTGAGGACTACCTCAAGGCTGTTTAATTGTTGGGACCACAAATTAACGGCCTCAACAAGTAAGTATGCAAAGGGTTTAGAAAGGAGTCTTTTTTTAAATTTAGAAGTGCCAAGTATTTTTTGTTACAGACTCCTGATTTGCAAGCAACACATTATGTTTTGTCTGTGGCTACAAACCCTGTTGCTGCACACAGGAGAATGAAGAATTGTAGGCAGACTCCTGTGCCCCATCCATTCTCGAGCCTTTTAACATGTCTTTTATCACGTCACATTAGGAAATAAGAACTAGTGTCTTTTAACACGCCACAGAGGACACATCCTTGCACAGGAGGTACAGCGCGGATTGGTGGAGAGGCAAATTCCTCACTTATGGTACTCGGGAGGAGATAAGGGTCTCTGTTTTGTTCAGAGCAGAGGGAGCCCTGACTTACGAGTCCAACCCACTTTGGGACTGGGGTGTTCAGTCAGTGTCACGCTGCCAGTTGGTTCCAGTCTACTAATGACATGTCGCAGGCTCGAACCCGCAACACCTGGATCAAGGAGCTCGACCTGTTCAGGGGCAAGCGCCTGTACTCGCTGAGCCATTTAGAAGTTCTGCAAAGATCCTTATTAAGGGTTTAGATTCACTATGCCAGTTGTTTGTTACATTAGCTGGCTTATGCCAGATCAGGAAAGCCCTTAGTTATAATTTTTTAACCAAAAAACAACAACAGTGGACCTGCTTTCTGATCTAAGCCCACGACGTCTTCCGACTAATCCCATCTCCATCAAATAAGTCTTTAACTGTACATTGTAAGAAAGCATGTAAAACCAGTCCTCATAGAAGACATACAAAGCAACATGATGCCTGGCTTTTTGACTTTAACCTGTCAGATTTATTGTTTTTCAAAAGATTAAAGTGATAAGGGCTTTAGTAGCTGCTTCACCGAGAGGCTGTTCAGTTGTATGCAGTCTGTTGATAACAGCATGTTAATTCTGCAGAGCTTACAGCCTGAACGAATGGCTTACAGTCAGAGCTTATGTTACTGTTGGATGTCATATGGGTAAAGCAGGATTTAGATTAAAAAGATAGCATTATCTCTGTAGGGTGCTTTGGTTAAAAAGTGAGCTTCAAATTGAAATCTCCGGGAGCCTGTTACCTGGCATCCAGTTTAAGAGTCGCAGATACACAGCTGTGTGCTTTAGATTTTCTTCTGAATAATTTCCATAAATGACTCCTGAAGAGCTATTCTACCCAGAAGAAGCTGTCATATTAATAACTGAGGTCCTATGGTATGTGTGCTACTTAAAATAGCGGTTAACACAATAGTATTTAAGGTCTTAAAAAGTTGTTAGTTTCATACAAATTGAAGAATAAGGTAGTGTACTGTGTTGTGGTTTCAGACAATATATGTATATGTCATAATATGTTATACAAATGAATCTACTGGGTAGTACCTAACAATTTAAAATATACTTATTTAATAGCAGTTAAAGTGTTAAATCTTTGTTTCACAGAATGTATTTTTTTTAATTGTGTGCAAATACAGTATATTTTACAAGCACACTGCATTTACTTTGAGGGTTTTTCTGCTAACAGTAGAAACAGAGGTATTTCTTCATTACAAACAACAAGGTCAAGCTTGACCATTGCAAAGAAATAACAGGCAGTGCTGGAGATTTCAATTAAATAGCTCCATTTGCATACCTGAAAATTCTTTCCCTCCTCTCCAAATAGAGCTGAATTGAATTGCCATTGACTGTCAGTATAGAGGCACCTAAGGACTGATGAGTTCATTTGTCAGGTTACTGTTCCATTTGAAAAGACAAGTCAAGTGTTCTTTCAATCATTTGTCTTTACTGGAATGCAGTTAACATTATGAGAGCAATCATTTTGCCTTTGTACAGCTGTACCTCGCATGAATAGCTTTAGAGTCCTTCAAAAGTGATTTAACAAGAGTGCTTTTCGGTGCAAAATGAAATCCTTGCTTCAGTATTTAACATATTAAATTCAGAGAATAGCAGGCTGTGATCAGGATGCAGAATTACTGACAGTTATGCTGTGGTCTAACAATATTACTTAGTAACACAATCTGTTAACCAGCAAAATTAGAACAAGACAATATTGGTTGCTATGATGAAATATTTAAGACATATAAGTGTACTTGAAACTTATTTTCATGTTCACAAAATGTGAACATAAGTTAATTACATTATTTGAACAATCAAAGGGAGGCAAACCTACTCAATGTCAGTGGTGCCATCTGGAATGAAGACAAAGAAGTTCAGGATTCCTAATTAAAGGACAGATTTTGTAGACAGATGTCGACGGAAAATGTTCAATAAAAAAGTTAATTAATTCTTCTGAGGCTAGCAGAACGGTCACGTAAAGAGTGGAGGAAATTGAAAGCAACAACAGGTGAAATAAATTTTAATCTTCTCCTTTAAAGGATTTTACTCTATGGTGTTTTTATTCTTTCTAAATACATCATTGATTAATCTAGTACATGCTGATCAACCCAAATGTGGCTGTACTCCATATGTATACACAGTACAGGCTCTTAAACATAATATTGGATAAGCCCAGGTTAAGTCTTAGACGTAATGGCAGTGTGTTGAACACACCTTGTTGAACTCTATTGATTCTCAGTATTAGGTGAAATTCTAAATGGGGAAAAAACCTACAAACTTCCAAAAGTGTGTAATCTTGAAAAACCAAACACAATCATCAGACACATCTGTTCGGGTTGTTCTGAGGTCTAAAATGTTTGTGGACTCCGATTGTAAGAAAATGTATGTTTGTTCTAGAACCCTATTTCCGGTCCCCCGTTTTGTAGCGGCATTACATTGTGAACACCTGATTGTGCCTCATGTTAACATTCCTTTGCTGGTGGTTTTCACTTCAGAATGACAGAGTGGATCATGTGTAATTGTGTTCTTTGATTTTTCGACATGGGACTGAAAGTGTCCATCTCCACTGCAGGCGGTGGATTGAGAAGTGCTGTGTAAGTGTGCTGCTCAGGGTAGCGAGCATATTCCCAGCTAAATAAAGCCAAGATCTAAGCAGGCCCTGGGGTAGCTCTGGGGCCTGCAGGCTTGAAAGCAAACTGGCAGGCTGGCGAAGACCTAACCAGTGTCCAAGGGAATTGGTTTATTAGAGTTATCTCTGATAGAAAACAGGGAAACAATGGAAAATAAGAACCATCTTAAACTGATTAGAGACTTCTGTGTTTGACTCTTGCCTCCTGTTTAGTCTGACAGATATTCTCTAGGCACTGCTTTCAACTTTTTATTTCATTGTTGTTTTAATTTGTGACAAGGCTAAACCCATTTTCTCTCTGTCTGATTTGTCACTGGACTTTTTGAGGGTAGAAAGCCCTGAAGGTTTAAGAACAAAATGGCGATGCTTGAAACTCTGCACAACCACTGTCCTTTATGAAAGGCTTGTTTACTGGAAGCAGATTTCTTGGCAGGAATTTCTCTGTTTATACATTGAAAGAGATGAAAAAGAAACTCGCAATGAATTACAGCAGCTCGACTCAAGAGGAAGCCAGGTATTCTAAGATGTCTGCAACATCCCCCTAGAGGATGTCTGTAGTGATAATAAGTATTTCATCATGCAGCAAGAATTCTGTTCTCACAAGTGCCAAGGCTGCAGCAGAGCCAAGAAAATAATTTTAAACAGTTGTGGTGTCGCTTTCCTTAGCGTACGAAACCTTGCAGGGTGCTCTTTGGAGGGTCTGTTAAGGGGGCTGCTTTTAGCTTCATCGGTCAGATGAGTTTTTCGTTTGAAAGAAGTCTCATGTGCTGCAAAAGTAATTCAGCTTCAATCCCATAGGTCTATGCTTTCAAATTATTGCAAGCCATGAAAAGGGTCCTTTTCGCTTATCATCTTTCAAAGTACTGGCCCTTTCTAACAGATCTCATGCTTCCATTACTTGACTACCATATAAAGCATTGTGCAGCGTAGTTTTCCAAAATAAATAATTTTCAATATAAAACAAATTTCTAGAAAAAAACCTTGTATATACATTAAGTTCAGCAGCTTTGTAAACATTTTGCTGTCTCACATTCCTCTGTTGGCTCCAAGCCACTTAGCACTGCATCTTACACATTTGAAAGTTTGAGAATAGATTGAAATAATTTTGGCTCCACGACGTCTTAATCCCTCACTTTGTGGCTTATGCTGCTTCTGACATGAGGTGAGATACACAAACCTGGCAAATTGATGTATCACAAGAACCTTAAGTAGTACTGTATGACAGGACACTCCTGCCTTGTAAAGCCAGTCAACTTAACTTAAATTAGAAAAGCCCTTTTATTCTGTTGTTTTGAGTCCACAATTTAGCAAGACCATTTGAAAAATCAAGATATATAAATATAAAACAATTACAGCACATCAGGATTATTTTTCTGCATGTGTTAAACAGGGAGGTACACTGTAGTTAGGAACAAAGCATGGACTCGTACTTTTCAAACTGATTACACCTAGAAGCTAGTAGTCTTCTCACTTTGTCTTCCTGAGATAGGTTCTGCATCAAAAACTTGTTTCTCTTATTTTTTCCTGGATCGAGTAGGATACTGCTAGAGAACATTCCAAAGAAAAATAATTTGGATACTTACTCCAGTGATTGTGAATAAAGCATGGGTGCTAATTTCCAGATTGAACAATTACTTTCAAATAGTCTTTGGAGCACATTTGGGACCAGATATTTTTATCAGCTTTCATGTTTTTTGTAGTGTATTATCAGTTAAACAGCTATTCTATTACTTTTTATAATAAGATAGCAGTTTCAGAAGTTACTGAGTACAGTGTGTTGAGCATCTAATCTGACACACAAAGAACTCGAAAGTGTTTTGCTTTCTTGGTTTTACACTGTTTTCATATTGAAGTGTTTTGTGGTTTAAATATTAGCAGTAAATGATATATTTCAAATGTAATACAGTAATACAGAAAAATGTTTGCTGTTTTAACAACATTCTTAGCTTTTTACATGAAAATAACCATTAATCTGTAAAAACATTCTACTGTAATGCAGCAAAGATAAACCTATGAATGTACTGTCTAGCTGAAATTATTGTTTTTTAGTGATCTGTCACAATGTTTTATCCATAGTTGTTGGTAGTTCATTGGTTTTGAAGGTATGAGTAAACAGCTTGGTTACTTTCTAATATGAGGAACATTGTGTGCAAAGTGAATTCCAGATATTGTCTTCTTACATCTTTCTACTTACAAATACTCTTTTCTTTAGTGTTTTTTTCTGAAGAGGAAAAGGAGCAGCTCAGAAAATTCAGCAATAAATCCTACCTGCTCGATAAAAAAGCCACCCATCAGGTGTGGATCAGCCTGGTTGATATAATCCTGGCATACGTCTATGAGGTCCGTGTCACAGAAGGGGAAAAAAATGTAAGTGATTATTTTTCGGCTCCATATAACCCACTTTGGTATGGCAGAGTTTGCAATAATGCAGCAATTAATCAGTATTACCTTTTTTGCTCATATTGTTGGTCCTAAAGCACTGAAGTGCTCCAGTGACAGTATTTCATAGTGCTGAAATAATCCTGATCTTTTTTGCATCAAATACAGATAATATTTTCATATTTGACACTAAGTTCTCATGGTTTCATTGGTAAGGGACTAATGATATCTTGTACGGTAAGAAACTTTAGTGCATTTTCTTTCTTCGCTGTTTTATAATCCATAGAAACAATAGCTCTTTTTATCATTATTTTAAGAACATTTCATTGAGTTATAGTGCAACATATTGTGCTGGAATGAAAAATATTTGCGGCATTGAAAAGCAAAATCGATATTCTGAAACATGACTACAGGGTACTTGTACAGTAGGCAAACACAATTGCAAAATGTTGCCCAGTTTGTAAATGAGGGTTTTCAGGTTATAAATGTTGGATTAATTTTTCAGAGGGTATGTGCTCATACTGAATTGCAGGTGGAGTCTCCATGGAATATCAGAAAACTGAGTGGAACACTGAGCTGGCTGGAGGTAAGCATGCAAATCCCAGGCCCAAAACATATTTATTGGTTTTGCAAAGAAGAAGAAGCTTGGGGTGTATAACTGAAATACTGTGCTCTTATGTTATATTAATTAAATTGTTCTCTGAGGTTAGCATACTCAAGCTAAGCCTACACATTAATGGAACATTTATCTGACAACAATACCTTTTGCTGTGTTTGTAGTATAACTTAAATGTTTGTTGCAAACTCTATGAAGGCTTTGAGACAGCCTGATGTAGGCAGTGTCTGGTTGGTACGATGCTGTTTAATAATAAACTTCACCATGCTCAAAGGGATTTCTTTGAATTTTTAATGCCCTTCCTCCAATTTGTGTCTTGCTATAACTTTATCCATGAGTATTGAAAGCTATGTGGTCTTCATGATTTAATCTTTGCTTGAAATTCTCTGCCTGACTATGAAATCATGTCAACCACCATTATTGCACACAGACAGAGACTATTTAACTGATTGTGTGACTTGTCAAAATAAGTTTGTGCACCTGAACTAATTTAGTTTTGCCCCCACAAAAGTGTCTTCTCTCACCCATTAAAGTGTTCAGTTCAATCACTGAATTTTTCATTTTAAAAATTACTTTCAAAAATATGTGGAAGGGGTGAATACTTTTGCTGTATATACAATTAATAATCAACAAGTATGGGTTGATTCTATTCTAAAAAGTAAAAAAGAAAAAGAACAGCGTTTCAGCTTTCAGTTGTTAGACCTTCTTCTGGATTTGTTTGTGTTTTTTTCATTATGTTTCATCTTGGAATTTAACTCTACTTGTTTCTTTACAACCCACACACTCATGCAGCTCAGCACTTATAATTAACAATCTTATAATTAATACTTTATTTTATATAGATGTTGCTTTTTATCCAAAGTGTTCTGCAAGTGTGTTGTATATGGGAAAGTATCCATTTGGACTACCAGTCTAGTGCAGTATGCACTGCCTGAGTGATGCATGGCAGTCATTGTGCTCCAGCAGCCTCAGTACCAATGCCATTAGAGGTTATCACCCTTATCGTTACAAGCAGTGCCATGGGATCTTTAAAGAAGACCTTGATTTAATGTCTCACCTAAAGGATGAAACTTCCTACAGCATAGTGTCCCCTGTCACCATACTGCCTTATTGGTTTGGAAATTCTTGTCCAAAGGGATAGTGCCACCTACTGGTCCACCAGTACCACGTGCAGCAGCAAACTGGTTTTTGTTAGAGGTCTCCTATCTCTAGGATAAGGTCTGGCTTTTCTCGTCTTCTAAAGATCTGACGCAATATATCTGATTGTGTGTATCTTATACATTGTCTTCAAGAAAGGAAAGATCATTTTATATATTTTATCATATTCAAGTACAGGGTTCAGTTGCACAGTCACACAAATGTGTATAGCCAAATACGTTTTCCACAGTAGTATTTTGTGGTACTAGACAGGCATCATCAAGAAATAACACAGCAGTCAGATGATCATCTGTGTTTATGCAGTTTTGCCATATCGTAATTGCATTGGCAGGAGAAGGATAGCTATTAGGTTTGGAGTTTATTGGTAAAATGTTTATTAAAGAAGAATTGTTCATGGCATTTCACCAGGGATGTGATAACCCGTTAGGGTAGTAAAAGACACAGCTGCAAACTGTAAGGTCCAAACAGGGGAGGTGGAAGTTTGAGTATGATGAAACAGATTCCAAGTCTCAATTCAGTCTTGGAAGTTGCTCCAAAGACAGAGGCTGTTTGGTTTGTGAGCACCTTATTTACCTTATGCAGGAACCTTATTTCACCAGCTCTTAACTTTATTGAGACTAGATACCTAGATATCTGCCACATCTGGAAGTAATATTTGACCTAGTCTTTTTATACTTAATGTTTTTCAATCAATCAACCATATTCAGAGATAACATAATTAGAATGATTTTTGATTTTTTTATGGTGAATAAAACATGTGACCATTCCATCTGTCTTGAGCAAGTTAGACATGAGGTTACAGTGTGTACCAAGTTTCAGATTAGTATTGTAACAGGTTACAAAGAACAGTTGTAACAAAATTGAAACAAACTCATGAAAACATGTAAGGAGAGCCATGGTTTCTCATCTCTCTTATTGAAGCTGCAAGGATGATTTACATTATTTACTCAGCAATATGTAACAAAACCAGGCATGCATGACTTTGTTTTTTTTTTCTTATGTTCTACCAAGCACACTATCCTACTTTTAGCACTCAATGTATTTCTGAGAAATGACTTAAATTTAGTATCAGGTTGGTTTTTGTTTATGTTTCCAAAGAGCTTCTTACGTGGGCTCATTTATGAAAGTGGAACATTTGAAAAGCTCCCTGAATAGGGTTCTTAGGCTTAGGAAAATATAGTTATTACATTCCTGTGAAAGAAATATGATGAGCTGAATATCAGGTTTAAATGAAGTCTAGAGATAATCACTATAAAAGATAGTGTTTAACATCTCTTACGGAGAAAAGGAAGGTAACATAAACGGATTATCTTCCCTCGTATCAGTTAAGAAAGCTGTTTTACAAGTCTGTTTTATCACACCTCTGCATTTTTCTCTAATGTCCCCTAATCTGAGTTTAGTTTGCTATTCTTTTCTGAAGGAGCAAATGAGGGGAAAACTCTTTTTACTCCTGCATGTCAGATAATTAGAGGTGAATGGAATGATTGAGTAGGGGAAGGTAAGAGATTTCCCGGCTGTTTGGTCCCTGACCAGGGCTTTTGCATCATTCAAGTTTTATCCGATAAATGAGACATCACGCATTCAGGCAGCATCTACCTCCAACAACAGTGGCCTTCAGGAGCACCTAGATAAATTAACTGAAATGTCAGTAGCTGGTCTCTATTATAAATTAATTCTTTCAAGCCTTTCAGTTTATAGTTTCCACTTAATGTTTCTACTGAGCCCTTGTATACAAAATACATTAGTTATTGACATGCCATCAATCGATTAAAAAAAACGATACTCAGGATTATTCCGTTTTTTCATGATCATTTTAGATCACAACACCTTTATTTTTTTACAGTAGTCAGTAAATTATCATTTAGTTCAGGTCTGTGAAGCACACTATAATATTGTGGAAATCTCAACTGTATGATAACTTTAACAACAATTCATTGAATTTCCTATCCTGTCATTCATGTTTTGAGAAGAGTTCAGATTTTCATTTCTGCAAAGCCTGTTTGGTTAAGTGAGCTCTAAGGCAGTTTGCAGTTAGTGTGGTAAATAAAAGCCTAACTCAAATGACAAGGTCTAACATCCGTGATAATTCTGTCACTGAGACCAGGGAACTGGAGTGGATCTTATTGCTGTCATAATCATAACAGACTGACAAATGTTAAATGATCTTAAATTAATTTGCTCTTTCCCATTATTGAACATATATTAATAAAACACATAATGACCGTGGGAATCCAAAGCCCTCGATTTGATGTATGCGGTCTTGAAATCTATTAAGTGTCTTTGATTATGTGATATTAATATCACCCAGATTGATTCATGCCAGCTCCAGAGTCCTTTTATTTTTTTGCCTTGTACTTTTAAGGCTAATCTAAAGAACACTGGAAAATCAGGTCACAGTGCCATGTAGAAATTAAAAAAGAATTTTGTCACAAATTTTTGTGGTTTTGATTTGAAGAGTACTATAGTTAATTTGGCAACTGAAAGTTGAGAAACATTTTTCTTTCCTTTTTGTGTAGAAGTGGGATAAAAACATAAAGTGCAGTTTTAGATTGTAGCCATTTTCATAGATTACTTTAAAAAAAACCTTCAAAGTATTTTAATCTTCAGAGGTGTATCATTGGTGGTAAGACAAATATTACATTTTTTTTCAAGTGAGGGTGTTAATAAATTTCATTCCTAGCTGGTATTACCTCTTCATAGGCCACATGAGATGCATGGATTTAGCACTTGACAGACAATTATACTTCTCATTATCTCAAACTATATAAGAGAGCAATTAACAGCACTCTAAAAACATACAAGACCAGTAACAAAATGATAATTAGAAATCTCGAAATGCAATCAAAGCAGGCAGACAAAGATTAACAAACTGATTTAACAATTAAAAGGCCTTCTAAAGCTCTTTTATTGACTGTTAAAGCAGAGGAAACAACCCTGAAACAAATGAACTGATTAAAAGACTTCTGACAATTAAAGTACTGGCTTTGCAGGGGTATTTCAATGCTCCACAAGTATTTACCTTCTGTATAAGTAAGTCATTAAGAGTAATTAGTCTATAAATGACTACAATTAGGAAGAAGTTATCCTGGCTTGCTGTTAGAAGAGGGAAAGTATTACAGTAGCTGTCATCAGAAAATCAATGTCTTTTCGTTTTCAGTTTGAAGTTAAAATGGTATCTGTTCTGATACATACAGCAAAGTAACATTATTTGGTTCTACAAATTGGGTATTAGCATTTGCATGAAATCCATATGAAGAGTCTCAGTACTATTTATGTATTGTTTTTTAATACAATTGGTGTTTTTATGTATTAATATATACATTACACACATCACATTAGTATTTTACAGTTTTCTTTACTGCATTACATAATACTGGTAAACGCTTAATATATAAAATGAAGATAAAGATGAATGTAACTGGAACAAGTGGTGCCAAGCAGTACCACACAGAGATTGATTAACCTGGAATGACTATGTGTCTTAAATATCCACTTATTCCTGCAACTCTGTCTGTCGCCTGATGGAGCTCTGCCACTTCTTTGTACCCTATACATTTTCTCCCTCTGCTTTGCACTGACAAATGTGCTCCTCAGAAACAAGGTCATTTATTTTCTTCTCTTTTCCTCTTACGTGATTTATGTTGAGAAGTCCAAATGATTTTGCAGTGAAGAGCCCTCTGTGTGCCTCCTCCAGTCTTTCTCCCAGCTGGGAATTTTGAATTGGAAAAACCACTGCCAGTGCCTTGGCCTCCAGGCTTGTCTCCACTCTACGCAGCAGTATTGGATATTTCCATCTTTGATCCATATGAAAATGTAACCGATTAAGTGAATTTGTCTATGTATGAGTTCCATCTTTATTCACACATTTAGTGCTGTGTGTTCTTTTTCTAGACATACAACTCTGTCCAGGAGGTCTTGGTATCATTTGGAAGAAGAGTGCTGTGTTACCCATTGTATAGACACTTTGCTCTCATTAAGGCAGCTATAGAAGATGCGGCAGTGATATTTGAGTTAGGTAAGTAACAATCTTTTCATCATTTGTTTTGCAAAAACAACAGCAACCAGTAACATGTAAGCTAGTGCAGACAATGGTCTAACACCTGAACACGAGGAAGCGATATGATACTTACCATTAAAGCTGCTTTCATTTAATTTTAAATAGTGAATTTTTTTCAATGTACTTATGTACTGTTGCCTAGAACTACTGTAATATACTGTTATACGTGGATTCTCCTACTGTTTTTTTTCAACTAACCAGTTTGTAGTGGCACTGCTTTGTCCCTTTTTGTAACTCAGGAAAACCCTTGAAGTTTGTAACATGTATTTATAGAATATTTACTTTATATCTGCTAAGTGTGTGTAATCTTTAGATCAAGGCTCCTCATGAAGTGCTAAGATGAAGGTTCCACTGTGCAAATACATTTAGGATTTATATTGCAAGATTAGCAGTTTCTGTTGGTTTAGCAAGTGTAAATGTGTTAGCAAATTAAACTCATATTTCCAGTCCTGGATTAGCATTTATGTGCTTCATTAGCTATCACAAGTCTGAAAATCTACTTCTGGGAAATTTAGAGCTTTAGAGGGATTTCAAACTGAGGTAGGGGACTGAGAATCAAAGCCTTTTGGACAAAAGACTATGTAATTAATTATTACATTAAAACACCTTGTTACGACCCCAAGTGTCTAGGGGTAAGGGGGTGTAACATTTAGGATGGTTTTGGATGCAGGTGGGATTCTGGTGAGGGATTTAGGAAGCATGTCAACAAGTTTGGTGCAAAAGTTATTTATTTTACAGTGAACAAGTGACTGGTACATAATTAGGACACAATAACACACAGGGAAAGGGAACTAGAGTGGTGCCAAAGAAAAGAAAATAACAAACAAAATGGAGCTGCCTAATAAGGTGAAGGAAAGCTGACCTAACTACAAAACAAAAACCCAAAACACTCGGTCTTCTGCGTCTTCTAACGCCCTGGCTAACCTTCACTAACTACCCAAAACCATACAAGACAAAAGGCACTCACCTGACCTAAACTAATTGTGTTACTAATACAGAGATCAACTACACGTGTAGAATGTACCCGACAACCTTAACTAAATCTTAACACAAAAGTTCACACACATACACAAGTGAACTACGAATACAAATAAGGAAAAACGAGATTAGACACAAGGAACAGGGTACAAAAAAGCACAGAGGTTGATATAACATGTTAGGGCAAGGTAATGGAGAAATAAAGGATAAACACAAACAAACGAAAGTACAAGAATACGAACACAAACCAACAAAGCCGAAGCTATACTGAAACACACATGAAGCAAAAACTAACAAAAACGGACAGAAACGAAGCTGTAGCAGGGCAAAACGAAGCTGAGCCGAGCAGAACAGAAGTCAAGCGAACGGCACCCTTCATTCTGAAAACCTCCAAGTTAAATACTGAATAAGCTGAGCTCTGATTGGTAGAGTTGATTGAAGAAGATGTCACAATGGCAAAGATGGGTGAATTAATAAACCAATGGGGAGGGAGAGCAACCAAAGTCAGGAAGTGTGGAACATAACATCAAAACAAACACACGGACCACACTGGAACGTAACACACCTGTAGAACTCTTACTGCCAATGCACTAGGTTTACTCAGATTCTTCCAATTCCTGCTACTTCATCCATTATATTTTGCTTTTACTGTTTGCTGGCTTATTGAAACAGTGTGACAACTGTGTGATGGTTTTTCATTCACATGGATTGCCAATGTGTGCATGTGGATGTGGGAAAAACGTTCGTAAAAGAAGGGCCCAGGGTCCAGTTGCAGTATTCACTTGAAAATTTTCATTTTCATGTGAGAGTCAGGGAATTTTACATTTCATTTTATATTAAATCAATGCCCAGTTACTGTTAAATTAACTACTATCAATTGGGTTATATGGGCTGAATTGCCTACTCTCGATTGAGGCCTTACTTATGTTTTTAGTGTCTCCCCCAAAACTACCATAAAATTAATCTGTGATGAAGTTTATCATGGACCTAAGATGGCTAAAGCCAAATAAGGTGGCTAGAGCCATTTTAGTTATGTGGTTGTTCTTTATCAGACTGATAACAACTGGTAGGCTACTTTTACATCTTTGCAGGGTGCACAGTGTGCACAGTTAATGGAAGGAATTTTAATAAATATTAAATCTTACAAGCTTTTGCTTTATACATAATTATTAGGGTTATAAATTACAAATCTGAGTTTTAACATCTGTAGTGCAAAAATTGAGTCATTTAAATTGGTTATATTTAATTAGTATACGGTATGTGTAGAATGCCCCCACCAACATATAACATGGCTAATTTTATAAGGAAGGAAAATTGTCCTCTTCCTGCATTTGATTGTCGCTCACGGAGAAGTGCTTGCAAGAAGAATTGTTTGTAAGAGAGTGAGAGATCTAACACCTACAGATGCAGCCATTCAAAGTGCGCGGTACAGACACATACCGGAGGTAATTGGCTA